ATTAACCTCCAAGCAGCTGCCCTCCCCTGCCTTGATCTGTGAAAGACTTAGGAGGGCCTATTTGCTTTCTGATCCGCAGGCTCTAAGGTCTGATGAAGGGTTCATTTGTCGGATAAAACTGCTTTATTCTAACCCACTGGTGGTGACTGCATCAGGTATAATCTGCTCTTCTTTGTTTGGTGCCTCTGGGTCATCTCATCAATGCTGTCCCTTAACTCTGCAGCTATTTGCTTTGGCCCTTGAGCTCACTGAATTCAGTAATCTTCTAATGTCAGAGCCATCTCTGTTCCTGGCACACAATACTGCAGGCTAATGATTTCCAAATGTTTACTTAAGATACCTCTTCCACCTGAGCCACAACTCTTAAAATACTAATTTCAGGAATCTTAACACTTTCTCACATTTGAGATTTGATGCTCTCTCCACTGCACCAATACTTCTTCATGACATTAACAGGTGGTCACGCCTACCCAGCATCAACATCACGAATAAAGAACTGTTTTACTAAGACATTATTTTCAAAAACTGCCTCCTCCATCTTTCACCAAATGAACTCAACTCAGCATTTTCAAAATATGTTTACTTAGAAAGCAAAGAGACCACATTAAAGTTTATACTGTCCACTAGAAGAGCTCCCGCTGTGCCAAACTTTAAATTGTAAATGTCCCTCCATCACAATGGGGCCCTTGATTACTTGGATTGGTCCTAATGTAGCTGTCTCTTGCCAAGTTTGAAAAGCAAAAAATCAGAAGCACCTTGGCAACTACAAGATGACACATGTGCAAATATCTCCATTAAACAATGTCAGTTTCGTCCCTGTTCTTTTCCCGCTGGTGTAGGTTTGGCATCTGGCACAGAAATCTTACTTTCATTCAAAGCATATGATGCTGCAGCTCTTCCTTTTTAATAACAACTGTCTGCTTATTGCACGTAAGCCAGCCACCTTTGCTCAATGGGAATATGGAGGCATTCATGCTCTCTGTGACATTTATGCAGGACATGGTTTTAATTACAAGACTTATCCTTCTTTTATTGGCAGCACATAGCAGCTCTTAGAGCTCTTAGTGTTCTCTGGCATCAGCTGTTATCATGGAATCACTTCAATATGCTCTTTCTCTCTAAAAGATGTCCCAGTGGTCCAGTGTCTCTGTTTTGTAAGGACTGGAATCTGAGGCGTTCACTGAGGCTTTGTTGGGACAGACAACATGTAATCACAGGAGAGACTCATGACTTCTGATTCTAATGAGTGAAACTAGCACTGCCTGTACAAACTGCATCCAGCAATTAGGGTAACGATCCATTGATCTGAGTCGATGTATCAAGTCAGTGATCAATGGTGCAAGGTGAAAACATTGATCCATACCATCATCTTTAAGATATACCTTTATGATACACCTTTATTTTGAAATTCTCAGGAGATGTCTGTGTCACCTTCAAGTGCAAGCAGCCGAGAAAAAGATAATGACGATAACATTATTTAACACAGTGGTTCCCAATTGGTGGGTCACAGTCCAAAAGTGGATCACGTGTCCATTCTGAATGGACCGCAAGTGATTTGCGAACGTATCGACTTTGTAAAAACCACATTATTTTTATGCACAGTGAATTTCCAGCACAGAGCTTTTATTTTGAAGTGCCGTTTCCTGCTGTAGAGTGAGTGACTAACGGACAGCTACTTGACAGAGACGGAAACTAGCTCGACAACATGGCCAAACACAAGTATGACGCTGAATATATCAAACTGTGTGGACCTTGAACTAATGACTAAGGAGAAATCTGGACCCGGTGGCTGGACCAGCTGGGAACCACTATTTAATATATATAAATCAGCAGTGTGGAAATATTTTAGATCTTTGACAAAACATGTCTCAACAGACAAAGCACATGACGTACCTGCCCGGCCGGGCATCTCACTACGCTTACTTGTTGCCCTCGCGCGGCAACATTAGCTACTTTTTCTTAACAATGTTAGACTGAAAAATCGTGCATGCAGACTGACAATCAACCCTGCTGTTCTGTTGAGAGATGCAGTGAGTTAAACCAGCATTGAGTCAGAAAAAGTATCAATAATACATGCAATTTGTTAAGCTATGAGTGAGGAAAAGTCTGCTAGCCGCTAGGCCAGGAGTCGGCATCCTTTACTATCAAAAGAGCAGATTTTGGTCAAAGAAGAAAAACAAAATATCTGGAGCCACAAAACATATTTGAGGCTTGTAATAAAGGTAATGCAGATTTTTCAGCCGAATTTAGCCTATCAACATTATCAATTGATCGAAATGAGCATTCATTAATATGTATTAGCACAAGGTGGCTACTGGTACTCTAACTTTGCAGCATTGCCAATAAAAGCAAATAAATTTGTCCCTGCACTGTTGAATTCTCTATTTTCCCCCAAGACTTTCCCCTTTTTTTTGATCTGGAATCCACAGCTAATCTAGCTAGGGAAGACTCACGACTACCTTAGCCATCGTTAGAGATGTTCTTTTTTTAAGGAAAAGGCACCAGGCCAGATGTATGAATGTTAAAACATTTTTTTTATATCAGTGTATAGGCTACCCATTTTTTTAATTGAAGAAAGTAAGAATCACTTTAGGCCTGCAACATTAAATCAAAATTAAAATGTTAAAAAAAAAAAAAAACAACAACAAAAAAACAAACAACAGTTATTCATTTCCATAACTTCCTGAGCCCCATACCTTTGTCTAGAATGTATTCTTTTTTTTAAGCTATCTGGGATTAGTTGGACCCGATAAGTATAAAAAACGAAATGCTGTCAATAATAATGAAGTCCCAACGTCCTAAAACGAATCATAAAGTCCAAATGTCTTAAAATGAGTACTACCTAATTAACAGTGTCTCAGCTTGTTAGTGTTGCTAAAATTAGTCAGATTTGTTGCCATATCAAACTACAAACATTATTAATCATAAATAAACAAGTTTCAATCATCAAATGTGATCAGGTTTTGGACCTTGTCCATTTTTGTGTCGGGATCGGCTGCAGACTGACTAGGCAAATATGGTTGACATCTTGTTTTTACATGGATTAATGTATTGTGCCCTTACTGCCACTAGATGGCATAAAAAGTGTCCACAAATGAGGACAACAGGTCTAAGTTAAGTAGAATGAAGTATAAGGTCAAGTAAACCCAAAATGTGACGTCCTCATACGAGGACACAGGTTCTCAGGAGAGAGGCTAAAGAGTCAAAGGTTGGCGATCCCTGTGCTAGGCTAATCTAAGCAGTGTAAAAATGCTTGAGCTGATAACGGTGACTAGCAAAAAAAATGTTTTGTCCATGAAGCTTAACACATACTGTTAATATTTATGCTTCTGTTAAATGTTCTTGTTGTTAGGTCATGTCTTATGTGTGTTAGTGGAGTCAATTTAAAGTAAACTTTACTGCACTGAACCAGTTACAATTATTCATGTGTTGTTTTTTTGCATGCCAAAAAAGACAGGGTTGGAAGCTTCTTCTCAAACCTATTGTGTTATGGGCATGTGATATCACCACATATCTGTCACAGGCCCCTGAATTGGATCTAATTAAAATCATACCACGGCAGATTTTGTGATTTAAGCACATATCTTAGCACTGTCCAAAAATCCATTTAATACTGTACGATGATGAAACTAGTGATTTACATGCTGTCATATCACTTAAAGTACCGAAATATATGGACATTAATTTCTTTTTCAAGTAAGCTGAAACAGCCAAACTATCTGCTACACACTGGATTAATATTTTCTAAACGTTACCTGCATGGCACTAACTACAGCCTGCATTAATGGAGCAGAAGCAGTCAAGATTAATGTGTGGCTCTCAGCTGCTGAAAAATTGAAAGTTCGAGTGTAATAAATCTTTAAAACAGCTCTGACAGCTCCTTCCCTGCAGGTCAGGAGGTGGTGATAGGGTGGAGTTTGGTGGGACTGAAGTTCCAATTACTGTTATTGTTTTAAGTTTTTTGATTTTTTTCTTTAGTGTCCATCACTGAGTCTCACTATTATAATTCACTTTGACTCTCCTAGACTCTCCCTGTCAAACCAAAGTCAGCTTCGTCGCATTCCTGACTTTGCTCAGAATTACTTAGACTCTTTAACATCCATTACAGCTGGGCATTGCAGATATAATCGAAGCATGACTCTGATTCTGAAAATCTTGACTCAAATATATTCAGTCACTAATTTTGGTTGGGAGGTTAGGAATAAATCTGTGTGAGGAGTTGTATGATAGAGTTAAGTCTGAGCCCAAAGACAGAGAAGCACAGCAAAACGATCTTCATTAGCATGTGAAAAAAAACTGCATAACTCAGCTGAATGTAAACAGAGAGGTTATAATCCTTGTCTGGGTCGTTGCTTCACAGCATGACGCCTGTTAGAGAAGCAAGAAACTTATGCTGTTGCCTTTAAGTCGTTGCAGTTGTGAAGAAGTTGGGTATGATTCTTAACATATTTTTTGGTACTATTTCTCATTTGTGGATCAAACACTTTTAGATTTTGTTGCTTTCTTAAGCTCAGCTTAATTTACTTGCCTTTTTACATTCATCATTAATATTTGATTTTATATTTTTAGCATTAACTTTCAGACTTTTAATTGTTTTTTGTGCAAACAGAAAAGTGTTAAAAGTGAATAATGGATGTGAGGAACAACAAATGTTTTGAAGAAATTACTGTCATGGCCACCTAAATTATTCAAATTCATGAGTGATCATATACACAGCTCTGGGGACGTGTTATTGAGCATATGAATATTTTACTTTCCCCCTGAGAAAAGGAAGCCAGTGGAGCTCCTTTATGCCAGTACTCCAGTGTTTCTCCATGTAAAGCCTCACCTTCTTTTCGTCTCCCTCCTGCAATAGCTGCATGTTGCTGCGTCGCTGGCTGTCAGTTCTTCTCAGGGTGGCGCTCCGATGCTCAGGCAGGTCAGGAGGAGGGGACACACTGCGACCCTGGGGGTCAACCCAGGTATAAACATGGTTGGTGACGTAGCCGCCTGGAATCCGCCCGACTGAACGCACAGAGAGGCAGAGCTTTTTACTGCCCTTCAGCACCTGAGAGGAGAGGAGAGGAGAGGAGAGAAAACACAACATTTGTATTTCTCAGAACATACATGAGTGCAGGTTCAAAGAGGAAAGACTACCCACAAATCACACTTCAATCAATCTAGTTTGATTTTTATAAGGCCGCAGAATATATCCACAAAAATACATGCATCTTAAAAACACCGTGTGAGATTGTAGCAGTGAATATAAAGTAGGACACATCACTAAATTTGGGAGAAAATTAAAGATTACAGAGAAGCAACCAATTTCTTTGCCTCTGACTGTGAAAACCCCAAATGACCAAACACCCCCCCACACACAACAAACACATTTCTAACACATTTCTGCTGAAAATTGCTGCTGGCTGTGCCTCATTGCCTTCTGATAGCTTGCTGTATGTGCAATCCCTCCACAGATCAATGTATTCCCATGTGCCCGGTGGTCTGGAGAAATCAGACCGAACTGAGTCGAGGCTCTTAATGATCAAACAATCCTTGTGGACCACAAACACCAACAGGACCTCGACTTTCATTCCAGTCTAAAAATGATCGCAAACACTGCCAGTTTAAGAGCTGATATTACTCCAGCACTGTGTGAGTGGAATGCTTTCACTTTTCAGCTGATGATTGTTGAACGAAATGAAAGTCGCTATATTAAAGGTTTCATATATTTTGCCGTCGTCGAAGTGCGAGACAGGGAACCTTCTGTGTTTTTCAATCTGTTTTCCAATGTTTTTGCATCTATGTGACTAATGAGAAAAACATTTTTTAAAAGTTTGGTCCAGTATGAAGCAGGAGTGCTGCAGTTGGGAGCAGCAAAACGGGCTGCAATGTAACTGGGCATATTTGCATTGTCAATGTATGTGAAATTAAACATTCCCTCCAGGATTTTGTGGGCTGTTTTTTGGATTGTTGCATCCTGTAATGACTGATTTCACAGGCATATGAATCCACAAAACTGATCTCAAAATTGTGATGTGTGTTGCAGTGATTATAAGTGTTTGTTTTTTTTTAAACTAAATTGCAGGAGCAAATAAAAGTTGCAAAGATAGTTTTGCTGCTGTCACAGATTCTGAGCTCATGATTATGAGCGTTCAGCATTTCAAACAGAAATAAGAATCTATTTGTGATAGTTGGGGGGATGGTGACGTTGATCGCCACCAATCAGCTGTTGCTGCCGTTCGATGCAGCACTGAGGGACATTTTCCGTGAAATGCTCTCCTCCTGCTTTCCCTGCCAGGTTAGCACGAGCTAACACAGCACAACATGATTTCATCCCTACTCTTCAAATTTTGCTGCATCTGGTCAACATCCGACACCTAGCCGTTATTCTCTCACCGACACAAAATGGTTTGACTCTGCTGTTAAACCCATTAATAATAAACTCGTTTAAAACGTTTATTATTATAGGTGTCTGACAAAGAAATAAAACACTTCTTTTACTTTTCACTCGACCCAATCTGTTTCTTATTGTGTTTTATCTTTTTTAAATCTAGCAAGTTGAGTTGTTGCACAAAGACAGTAACAAACAGACCAGATCAAGCACAACGTAACATTTTATTTCTCTGTAGTGTCCTTTCCAAAACAACAGCACTCTGTATAGCAGCAGTTATCACAAACAGATTCTGATTCTGTTGGAAACACTAAATGCTCATAACTATCAGCTCTGTGGTCTGGCCATGTCTCATCCCCCTTATGTTAGCAAGATGCAGCATCACCTCTGAATTATTATTGATTATTATGAGACAATGTGGAAAAATTGGCGACCACGCCCAATTTTTTGTGGGATTGTCCCAAATTGGAGAACTATTGGAAAGACATCCAGGTGGAGATTAAGCAAATCATGGAGGTAGATCTACCTCTAGAGCTAGCATTCTTTATACTGGGAGACACTCCAGAAGATTAAGACACCAAAAAACAGCAGTATTTGCTGAGGGTGTTGCTGTTGATTGCAAATTAAATGATCACTGTAAATGTTAAATGTAAAACCACCAAGTGTCCAACAATGGAGAGGAAAGATTGAGGAGTATATATTTGATGGAAAGCATGACGGCCAAGCTCCAACTGAGGACTGATGTTTTTAACAGTAAATGGTAGGGGTGCACCGAATATTCGGTATTGACGTATATTCGTTATATGACGCAATCAAACAGCATGCGGTGACGGACGGAGTAAAATGTCGGCAGTGTGGCAATATTTCAAAGTGTTGGAGAGTGATAGTAGAAAAGCGGTTAGCAAAGAATGTAATACTGAACTATCTAGAGTAGTGTTGCAGGGTATACTGGTACCAACAGTAGACCGCGGTACTGAAACACCACCGTACATATAATACCATAATGCTGGAGTACCTCAGGTACCACTATTGTGGGATAAGTTCAAAGTCCAATCGCAATCGGTTGTGGGTTGAACGGGGGTCACAGACACAGACAGGAATATATCCCTGTCAAATACGGTGGCCATAGTGCTCCGTGGCGCAAGATAATGGCTTACCGGCGATGGAGAAGCCGGGCTCCAGGTCCAATAATCTTCTTGGTGTCATGACTGCCCATAAATACCTGAACAGCTGAGCCATGGCAGCACACAGGTATGTGACGTGTCAGAGGGGAAACGAGCCATTCACATTTCTCTCTTTGTGGCAGGTAACGGTCCACAAACCTCACCGCACTTTAGGGACTGTTCTTTACTTATGAAGGGACTGTTCTTTACTTGTCAGGGGAGGAGGGTGGCTGGTTGATTTCTGGTTGATTTTTATTTTATTTATTTTGATCCCCCCTGTGTTAATCACTTATTGATGCTGTTTTTGAAGTATGAATAAGTCAATAAGTAATTTATTCCATTGAAATATCATTGATGTATTATAGAAAAGTGATTTATCTTTTTATAAATGACAAAAGGCACATCTGCCTCATTTTCGCTGTGGTATCGTGATACTACTCAGAACCATGATATTTTCATTGGTATCGTACTGTGAGTCCCAATTTTGTTACCATGACAACCCTAATCTGGCGGGGGTTCATCTGCAAAAACTAATGAAAAACTAAACAACGGCATTCGGTATTCGGCCAAGCGTTTAATTTTATTCAGCTTCGGCCACAAATTTTCATTTCGGTGCATCCCAGGTAAATGGACACCAGTTATAAAACAGTTCCCAAGACTAAGGACGCAGCTTCTCCATAACCCTGGGGGAGAGGAGGAGAGGAGGTTGACATTATCCACATGCAACTGAAGTTATAAATACAGATGTGTTTGTGGATGTGTAGTAGTCTATGTACAGTGGTGATACAACAACAACGGATCGAGGTGTCTCTTATCTCTTTTTCTGTAAGACCTTCCCACGTCTACCCTCCAGAGTTCCCCAATGGACATAAAAGTATCTGGTTAATTATATGGGTGATTGTGCATAAGAAGAGGTTAATTGGGTGCCCGTGTCTGTTTCCTCTGTACATTATATGAACAAGATAGGTTGCCGCAAAGTTTACATCTCTTATGTGATAGCCCATGATTGTTCAGTTGCTGATATACATGAATACATTGAATTGAATTTGAAAATAAAAGTCAAGTGCACAAAAAAACCCCTGAACGCTTCTTCACATCTGGGGGCAACAAGCATGAGCAGATAGTCTACAAGAACAGCACCATTGAACTCAAACACTAACAATGTTACCACCAGCTAAGTTTATTTCACCAATGCTTCTGACCGTGAGTAGCTGTGACTTGGGTGTTTTTTAAGGGCAAATGGTAGCTTGGTATTAGTAGTGAAAGGAGAAGTGGCTTTGTCTCCACTGAAGCCACATCATTTTTGGGTGGGCTTTTGCACCCAAATAACATGTAGACTCTAGCATTGTAAAGGATACACCTATGTCAAGGTCAGTGTATTGATTGTTGTTTAAGGAAGTGCAGTGTTGCATGTGATGTTGCTTGTATGAGCAGATCTTGAGAAAGCTGCAGGCAGCAATACCACAGACCAAGAAATCGGCCCATTCTGAACAGGAATAGTTGGACCAAGAAAGTGATTTCTACTTCATGATAATGTCCTCCGTTTGTCTCCATTACAATCTGGATTATTTCCTGATATTAAATATATTCTGCTGCTTGAATTCATTTTTTTTTATTAATGCTTACTGTGTGCTTTTGTGGATTCAATCTTCAGCCATTTGTACTTCTGCTTCACACACCTGAATTTATAATAAAGGCTCTCTTCCTCTTCCTGTTAAGAGCCGCAATGCCATTTCATGTCAGTTTTATTACTTTTATGGGGGTTTTTGCTTTATGTTTCATATGTAATAAGGCCAAACCATTATACCACCAGAAGGCCTATCTGCTGACTCTGTGTGAGGTTGACAAAAAGACTTCTCAAAGTAACTCTGTGTTCTGTATCAAGCACAATGTCCTACAGTTTCTTCACCAGACAACCACAAATAACGCTAACCCTCACATTAATCTCCCCTCGTCTCTCTTCTTCCGACAATACTTGCAAAGAACTACTAAATGCTCTTGTTGAAATGCCTAATAACATATGCTGCAAGCAACAACTGAAATCATTACTTGTGCTGCAGATTGCAGAAGGAGGCCCGTCTCCTTGAGCACAACGATCCAGCTGAATCAATTTCACAATCCTGATTTGTGCTGAGAGATAATAACTTCAACTCTGAGGCAACAAAACCCTGTCAGCACTGAAGATCACTGACTGGACCAAAATGCTGGTCATCACTCCCTCCCTCTTCCTCCCCCAGCCCTCTTTATGGGCAGCATCAGTGCAGAGTTGTAGATAAAAGTATACAACAGATAAGTTCAGCAACACATGAGCAGGCACACTGCTATGAGCTTTTACTCAGAGAGAGAGAGAGAGAGAGAGAGAGAGAGAGAGAGAGAGAGAGAGAGAGAGAAGTTAAAACAACAAGACAGAGGAACACAACCCAGACTGCAAAGAAGTTGGGACACTGTCTGAAACTTGAATACAAACAGAATGTGATGATTCACAAATTCTTTTCCACCTATTTTCAGTTGAAT